ATGTTCCTCAGGTTTCCTGAGGTGGCAGGCAGGGATTGTCACTATAAAGTCAGAGTAAAAGAACCTGTGGTTTTGGACTGTGTATCTAGAGCCCTAACTGAGGGGTATGGTAAGGTTTCACTATTCACAGGTGCAAATTGTCAAGTCACAACATGGAGAGTTTGCAGTGTTAGAATCACATGCATGCAATGGTGCTGTGAAACCATTTCTACCAGTCATGGAATGCTGCCTTTCCCCTGGTTTTGTTATCGTCTGCTACACCTCTCTCTCTCTCTCTCTCTCTCTCTCTCTCTCTCTCTCTCTCTCTCTCTCTCTCTCTCTCTCTCTTTCTCTCTCTCTCTCCCTCTCTCTCTCTCTCTCTAACACATGTACACACACACATGTATATACATTCATACACATATACATATACACTTCTGTTATTTCCCAGTCTTCTCCTTTCTCTTCTCCCTTTCTATTTATCACACATAATCTTACGCATCTACATCATTTATCTACATGAGAAAAATTTTGACCCAGTGCCAATGGCTCATACCTATAATCCTAGCTACTCAGGAGGCTGAGATCCGAGGATCCAGCTTTGAAGCCTGCCTGGGCAGGAAAATCTGAGAGACTCATCTCCAATTAACCACCAAAAAACTGAAAGTAGAGCTCTGGCTCGAGGATTAGAGTGCCAGCCGTGAGTGAAAAAGCCAAGTGAGATCATGAGGCTCTGAGTTCAAGCCCAGTACTGGCAGAAAAGGGAAGAGGGACCTTTTTTTTAACATCTTTCCAGCTAAATCCAGCCCAGAGTCCATACTGCTCCCACTTGACCTTCCACTGTAAGAAAATCTTACAGTTCTAATAGTTAATATTTAGCAAGTACCCACTTACCATATGCAATGAATCAGGATAATAACTCTTAGACATTTCAACTCCTGAATCTCATTCAGTCTTTCTAACAACATAAATATTAGGGAGTGATATTATTAAAGTCCTGCAGGTTAACTCATGAGACATCCTGGGTCAGCCATCACTGAAGTCATATAACCAGTGATGATCTAGCCAAGCAGGTGGGGCATTGTATGATTTTTGCTTACCCAAAGTTTTAAGTACATTCAGCATTGGCTAAGATGGTTTCCCAAAGAGTAAATAATCCATAGTAAAATATTTTAACTGACTTACACTGAGATCTGAGGATCACGGTTCAAAGTCATCCTGGGCAGGAAAGTCCGTGAGACTCTGATCTCCAATAAACCATTAGAAAACCTTAAGTGGAGCTGTGGCTCAAGCAGTAGAGTGCTCACCTTGAGCTGAAGAGCACAGAGACAGTGCCTATGCCCAGATCTCAGCCTCCTGAATAGCTAGGATTACACACATGAACTACCCAAAGGCCAGCAGTTTGAGTTTCTTGAAAATAAACTCCAAAATCCATTTTTTCATACCTTAGCTGTCTTTTGCTCCTCCTCCATCTCTAGCAATCTGCTAGCCACTGGCACTGAGATGACTCATGGCTACTTTCCCACCACACTGTCCAAGCAAAGTCTTCCCCTTTTACATCCACGCACCCTGGACTTCCATCTCTGTTTCTAGCAGATACTCTCATGGTTTTCATCATGAAGGCAAAAACAAAAACAAAACAGTGCCATCAACTTGGTCCCTCCACCTTCCCCTCTCTCTCTCTCTCTCTCTCTCTCTCTCTCTCTCTCTCTCTCTCTCTCTCTCTCTCTCTCTCTTAGTTTTAAATTACAAAAAAGATTCTACCTCCCACATCTTCTACTGCCCCCCTTCCCCTGGCCCAGAAAGCCTTCACTGGCCTCCGGCTGCCTGCAGACATAGTGTCTGCTTTTGCATTTCACACACTCCATTGGTGGCTCAAAGCAACCTATCTACCCTAGTGTGCTCCAACCTCACCAAATCTTTAGACCCACCCCATCTTTAGATACAAGCCAAGTTTCCCAGCTTCCTGCTCTAATGCATGCTAACCCTAATGTAACGCACAAGAGGGTTTTCTTCTCTACTTGGCCACAACTTAAGAAGTCTTCTGCTGTAGTTTGGATCTGAAATGTTACCCAAAGGTCTCTGTGTTAAAGATTTAGTTGCCACATAACTAGTATATGTCTAAGTCAAGCAGAAAAGGTCAGATAAGTTGATGTTAGGAAAATGAACCTTAAGATATATATTCAAATGTTTTTTTTTCTTTCATATGATTGTTTCTAACTCATTTATAAGATTATTTCTTTGTTGCTTTATATGTTCCTCCTCCACGGTATAACCCCTGCTTTCACTGTATTTGATGTTAGTATAATTTGTGGAGAGGAAGGGAAAAACAAATCGTTTAAATAGGGATACAGGTGGACCCATTGCAACACTGAGATGTACATGTCGTTATGTGGAAAACAAACTTTACAACTTTGGTGGGGGGGGGGGAGGATTGGGTAGGGGCGCGGTGGGGGGGGGAGGCTGGGAAGGGATGGGAAGGGGAAACAAAGGAGGAGGCTACAATGTTTGATAAGAAGTGTACTCATTATCTTGCCCATGTAATTATAACCCCTCTGTACAGTATTTTCACAATATAAATAAATAAATGATTTAGTTGCCATATTGTGGCATGACTGGAAGGTGGTGGAACTGTTAAAAGGTAGAGCCTCGTGGGAGAAAGTTAGGTCACTGGGACATGCCGTTGAAAGAGATCTTCCTTCTTTCCTTCCTTCCTTCCTTCCTTCCTTCCTTCCTTCCTTCCTTCCTTCCTTCCTTCCTTCCTACCTTCCTTCCTTCCCTTTCCTTTCCTTTCTTCCTTCTTTTCTTCCTTCCCTTCTTCCTTTTCCCTTCCTTCCTTTCTTTCTCCATCTATCTCCATCCTCTCTGCCTCCCAGCTGCCATAAATGAACAGTTTTCTTCACCATTCCCTCCCATTAGAATGTACTGTCACAGCTCTAAAAGCAAAGACCAATGGACCATGAGCTAAAATCCCTACATTTTTGAGCCATACTAAACCTTTCTTCTTTTTAATTCATTTTTATCAGGTATTTTGTCATAGTGATGGGAAGCTGACTAACATTTCTTCCCAAAGTTTATTTTTCTTTTTTTTTTAATTGTGGGAACACCGTACAGAGGAGTTACAATTACATGGGCAAGGTAACGAGTACATTTCTTTTTTTTGGGGGGGGGGGGGTCTGGTCGTGGGGCCTGAACTTCTGGGCTTGGGCGCTGTCCCTCAGCTCTTTTAGCTCAAGGCTAGCACTCTACCACTTGAGCCACAGCACCACTTCCGGCTTTTTTCTTTTTGCTTATGTGGTGCTGGGGAATCGAACCCAGGGCCTCATGCATGCAAGGCAAGCGCTCTACCACTGAGCCACCTCCCCAGCCCACAAGTACATTTCTTATCAAGCATTGTTGCCTCCTCTTTGTTTCCCCTTCCCATCCTTTCCCATACTCCCCCCACACCTCCCTGCACCTGATCCTCCCCCCCTCCAAAGTTGTAAAGTTTGTTTTTCTACATAACGACTTGTACATCTCATTGTTGCAATGGGTCCACCTGTATCCCTAGTTAAACAATTTGTCCAAAGTTTTTTGTATTGGCCAGTTCTAGTCTTTGTTTTTGTGTGCTTATTCCACCTCCTGAAGTCAGCTATGGAATCTGTGCATCAAGTATGCATTTTTCCACAATGTATATGCATCTTGTACTTCACACACCCTCACTGTGTATTTGATGAGTTGGTTTGAGATGGGGTTCCATGTGGGGAGTACCAAGTTCCCTGGATCCTCACTTCTCCTAAAACAGAGAAAAATTCCATTATTTGTTCCACTTTGTGTGTGTGTGTGTGTGTGTGTGTGCCAATACTGGGGCTTAAACTCAGGACCAAGGGTATTCTCCCTTAGCTTGTTTTCACTCAAAGCTGGTGCTCTATATTTTGAGTCTCAACTCCACTTCTGGCTTTTTGGTGGTTAGTTGGGAAGATAAGAGTTTCATGGGCTTTCCTGCCCAGGGTAGTTCTGAACTCTGATTCTCAGCGCTCAGCCTCCTGGGTAGCTAGGATTGCAGGCGTGAAGCTACAGTGCCAGGCTCCACTTTTGCATTTTAAAGTGCAGAATTTTCTATGTTCTGCTATGGCTTTAATATCAGTTCTCTTCAGTAAAAGAAAAAATGGGTTAAATCTTTAGAAAATGCTCAAAGTTACTGAGCCTGCCCATGTACCAAGGCACTGTTGGAAGGCCATATATGTTTAAAACATGTGTCTCTCAGCAGCCCTCTGATGTAAGCACTAAATCTCCATTTTATCATGAGGAACCCAAAGCTCAGACAGCCCTTTATAGGCTCAAACAGCTGGTTTGAGACAGCCTGATTTTCACTCAACTCCAGAGCCCATGTCCCACCATGATGCTACAAGGAATTGCAGATTTGAAAGAGGGAGGATTTTATTTCTTTCCAGCTCAGAATTTGAACTCAGGGCCTCACACTCCTTCAGCTTGCTTGCTTAGTTGGTGCTCTACCACTTGACCCATGCCTCTGGTCCAACTTTTTGGTGGTTATTTCGGAGATAGAATCACATGGATTTTTTTCAACTTGGGCTGGCTTCAAACGTCAGTCCTCTGGATCTCCATCTTTTGAATAGCTAGCATTACAGGCATGAGCTGTCAGTGCCTGGTTTTGTGTAGTTTTTGGTGGTCCAAATCTCAAATCCTGGAGCCTGGATTGGTCTTCACATTTGATCAGTCAAGTACACATGCGTATTTCCTGGTGTCATGCAGTAAGATGAGGGGAGGGGGTTACCTTTGTATTCTATTTACCTGGGGTGTGCAGTTTTGTTATTAGTTCACAGCACAAGATTCCTGACAGCACTTTACACAGCTGTATTCTCATGCTTGTCCTAGCCAGGCACCCTTTTAGGACTAAATTGTCTTTTCATATATAAGTCAGTTCCAAGCCAGGCCTTTCCTTTAAACCACCAATTGCCGGCCTCCTTGCCTTCCAGCCTCCTGACATACCCCCACCCCTCACAGAGGAGGAGCACTTCAACCGCAGGTAAGCAGATCACCTCTAAATGTCAAAACAGAATTTTACTCAATCATTACTTGGGATGAATCAGGAGACACAGCAAATAAATACTCCAATGAGGTTGTGTTATGAAGTATGTATATATCATCTCTGATCTAATAATTCATGTAGGCTTGACTGTCCAAACAGCCCTGCAGCCCAATCCGAGCTTCCAAGAGCCATTCGACACCGCTTGGGATAGTAACACAGCACCTGTAGAAACACAATGCAAAGGCCATAGCTGAATGAGAGGCCAGTTAAGTACCCAGAGGGAAGAGGCTAGAAAGCTTCTCCAAAGGGGCTGATCAGTTCAAGCACAGGCACAAAGCCTGAGCTCTGATTGCTGTATAAGTCAGGCTTCCATCAGAGCTTTGCCTAATGGCTTTGCAGGCCCTGGACCAGCATCTGCCTTCTGTTGCTCAGCAACCTTCAGGCCAGTTGCATCTCCTAGGGCTGATGTGTGTGGAATGATTGTTGACAGCTGATCTCTGGCTGGCATGATATTTAGATGCCAAGGCCACAGTGAGTACCAAAAAGAAGGAAGAGGAGGAGGAGGAGGAAGAGGGGAGGAGGAGGAGGGGGAGGAGGAGGAGAGACAGAGACAGAGAGACAGGGAGAGAGAGAGAGAATAGAATAGATAAGCAGAGAGGGAAGCGGATTAGGGCATGAATGCCCCCACTTACTCACTTTGTCCCGGATACCCACATCACTGTAAGCAACATCCTCACCTCCTAGACTCCCTGTGGCCTGCAGATCTGGTGTTCTTTCTCTCTCCCATCCAAGCTTTGGATCTGCATGTCTTATACACAGAGACATCCCCTGCTGTGTTCCCCACCTGAGAGTAAAGAAGTGTCTGCATACTAAATACATAAAGCACACTTCCAAAGCCAGGAAGTACAGGAAGGCTTAAGACACCAAACCAAAAGAATTATTCCACGTTATTCCAGTAGAAAGCGTCTCAGGGCCCAGTAGGCCCAAGCCATTAAAACCTCTCTCATCAGGCTGGGTCTGGACCACTTATGGAGAGTGCATAATACCCAGGGGAAGACCCAGGGCCCAGGTAGGTCTTGAAATGCTGGAACATTCCATTCCCCACCCAGGTGTGGGTTTAGCTTCTCTGTGACTGCTTAGCCCGCAGCGTTAACTGGTGAGCATAAGCCAGCTATGAAAAGAGAACATGCAGCCAATGAGCACAGAGCGGTCCTGTGGCAGAGAGGGGAGGGACAGCTACTTGGAAGCAGAAGCCGCCCCTTACTCTGAGCATGCAACAGCCCCCCAAGTTACTCCTATTCAGTTTCCCTCCTGATTAAAACTGATTTTAACAAGCATTAAGGACAGCTCTAAAACCAATACTTTGATCATTGGGAAGGTTCCAAGGAGAACCAATGCATTGTCCATGTTTTCACGGATTTGTTTTGGTAGCTGTCCTTCCTCTAGGAATGCTGGTTGATTCCTACTAGGTTGGTTCCCGCTAGGACTGTTCTGCTGGACTCTTCAATCCAGCCTTGATAATGGAGCCTGTGTGAGACAATGCCATCCACTTCTGGACAGTTCCCTGGGAGCCAACAGTCAATGAGCTCTTCCATATGTGTCACTGGGTGCTGTCACTTTGCATGAGCTCTCTAACACTCCAAAGCAAGTGGTATTATTATTCCATATTCAGATAAGGAAAGGGTCCTAGAAAGTTGACCCTCTTGCTAAGGTCATCATAGATTCAAATGACAAATCCACAACTCAAACCCTGGGCTCTTGAAACAGGGACCTAAATGATCTCACCTTCAGGGGCTGGACATCTGGGTACCCATGAAGCTGCACAGGTTTGAGGAAGGTACAGGGAGGGGGTACCTTTGATGGACAGGCTATGACTGTCTTAGTTAGAAGTGGCAGATGTCACCCAGATCCCATTTTTTTGTTCATGAGAGTGATTCTAGGTGGTCAGATCTGCAGATTTTTCAAAAGAAGTTATCGATATAGCTCTGTGCATATAATAATCCAAATTATATGAGTGATAGATGAAATTTTTTTTGCCAGTACTGGGGGTTGAACCCAGGGCCTACGTGCTGTCCTTTAGTTAGCTTTTTTGTTCAAGGCAGGCACTCTACCAGTTGAGCCAAAGCTCCACTTCGAGGTTTTTCATGGTTAAATTGGGGTTAATAGTCTCATGGATTCCACTTCGAGGTTTTTCATGGTTAAATTGGGGTTAATAGTCTCATAGATTCTTTTGGTCCTGGCTAGCTGTCAACCATCATCCTCAGATCTCAGGTTCCTGAGTAGCTAGGATTAAGATCACAGTGGAATACTGTTCGATGTTTGTTCATGTGATTCAATTCTGGAGCCCAGTGTGCTCCAAGAGACTTATCTCTGATGATAAATCTGTCACAATTCTCTTCCTCTTGTTTCCATCTATTGTATTCAGTTCTGCTATTTGGAGTAACAGCGATTTCAAAACACCATCGTCCTGTCCTCTTCTCTAGATTGAATATATGCAGCCTTCAAGTTTCCTCTTTTCAGGTCCTGCTTTGCAGGACTTCCGCTGTGCTGGCCCTGCTATTCTGGGCATGCTCCAACAACACATCTCTGCTGATCACATGATCCATGAAGCCCTACCCTTCATTTCCTTCCTGTCTGTGCCATGACAGACCAAGGTAGGCTCCAAAACCTTCAGGATTCATTCAAGGATGGAACTCAAGCCACTAGTTTTTCTTGATCTCTAAAGTTTTGCTTCCATTTAAGAGATTCTAACCTGCCTAACCCAGTCGGAGGCTTCTTGGTCTCTTTGGTGACTGTTAACATTGTGAGAAGTAACCTGTCCACCACCAGCCCTTCCATACCATGATCCTAACCACTGCTCCAGTCCTCAGATCCTTGCAGGGACTACTCTAGAGGCACACTTTAACACCAACAACTTGTAGTCCCACACCTGCCCAAGTTTCTTCTTAGAGGAAGTGCTCCATGGCACTAAGAGCTCAACTCACCCAGTCCTGAAACAAATCTCATCCTCCTCCTGGTGCCTTGTTCCCAGTATTCAGAGGCTTTTTCCAATGTCCATCACAGCCAGTATGTAAGCTTCACCGATTCTACTTTCTAAAAACTACCACATGCAGACAACCCCATCCCAGACTCACCTGGCTCTAGCTACCTGTGGGGTGTGTATTGGATGTAATGAGGCCTAAGTAAGGACTCAGAGGGGCAAATGTGATGGCTCAGCAGACTCCGCCCCTTATCAGTCATGCAAAGCAGGTCCCATTTTTGGTTTGAGTCCTATCTCACAATTTCCTTGGTACAACAGAGAACTGCAAATCTGCTCGTCTGCTATGGAAACTGAGAAAAGCAAAGTAGCCTATCTTTGACTCTTCCTCTGCCTTCTGGCCATTTTCCATAGCCACTGGAGCTGGAGCTGGGGCTGCGCTGAGCAGCTGGGTTTCTCTGTGAATGGTGACTCACAGATGTAGTTTCTCTGGCCCAGGTTCTCAGAAAACTCCCAGCTGAGAAGACTTCCTGGTGGTCAAGTGACCCCTTCCAGCTGCCAGCCCTATAGCATGGGATCCCAGCTGGGGCTAGGTGATGAAGACCAGGTCTGGGCTTTGGCCCTGGGCTAGAGGACCTGTCTGTTCCACTTGCTACACTCAGGATGTGATTCATCACCAAGGATCCCATGGAGAAGCCAGGCCCTTGACCAATCAAAACTGTTCTAGGAAAGCTAGATTTGGGAGAGCGTTGTTCCTACCACCAAAGAGCATCAGCTTAGTTAGCACTATACATGGTACAAAGAGGTCCTGGGATGTCAGGAGCATCTCATTAAAATTGACAGAGGTGTTCAGAGAGGGACTAACTTCCAGGAAGACCTTATAATGTATTATGGCAAGTAATTCCTTGAGAAAAGCAAATGGGGCTTTCAGTTAACTAAAACATCAGGCAAGGGCAGGGCTAGATCAGATCACAAATGCTAACACTGTGTGAGACAGCCAAATCCTCCTCCCAAACAAAATCCCATGCAGAAGTACAATATGCTGGTGGGGGAGGAGGGAAAGAAGAAAAAAATGGAGTAACAATATTCAACAAGAAATGTACTCATTTCCTTACTTACTGTAACCTCTCTGTACATCGCTTTTACAAAAAAAAGAAAAAGAAATGCTAAAACACACACACACACACACACACACACACACACACACACACACACACACTGAAAGTGAAAATCGCTGGGAGCAAAGGTCAAGTAGTTGAAGTGTTTTCCTAGTAAGCTCAAGGCCCTCAGTTCAAGGCCTAGTATCATCAAAGAACCCAGAACCATCAAACATAAACCTCCTGGGGTCCACTTCACATCCCTATTTGGTCATCTCTTGGTGACTTGACTCTTCTCCAGTCACCAAAGCTTTGGCTCACAGGCTCCTGGGAATCATCTACCCATCACCTTTTAAAAAAAAGTTCTATCTGTCATGGGGCTTGAATTCAGGACCTGGGCATTGTACCTGAGCTCTTTTACTCAAGACTAGTGTGCCACCATTTTGAGCCACAGCTCCACTTCTGGTTTTCTGTGGATAATAGCCCCATGAACTTTCCTGCCTGGGATGGCTTTGAACTGTGATCCTTAGATCACAGCCTCCTGAGTACCTGGGACTACAGGTGTGAGCTACCAGCACCGGGTTCTACCCAACACCTTTCAAGTTCTTCTAGTAGAGGCTTCTATACCCTAACTCCACTCAGGCACACTAATTAGGACCATGTCCTGGATTTTGACAAGACTTGGACAATACATGGTCCCTGGTACCTTACTGCTGCGTCCCAACTCAATTATTCTATTCTCCCAGCCCATAAGCTTCGTGTCTTCATCCCTTGCCAACAAGTACTTCAGATCCTCTGGTTGTGGCTTGAAGTGTTTTCTTGCTAATGTTCAATTCCAGTGGCCATATTGGCCTGCTCTAAATCTCCTCTAGCCAGGCCCCACCTGAATGAAGACATTGCTCTTGCCAGCAGCTCCTCTTCTAAACCCTTAACAGCTCCTCCTGCTTCTTTCTCTACACTTCTACATGCTTCCAAACCTACTGTAATCTCATCTGTGTCAGAGTGGCATCCCGCAAATTTCTAGATCTCCCAAACTCCAAGAAGAAACATCCAGAATCCCACTACACACTCTCCCCTGCCCCCACCCCATACACACACACTCAGATACCCCTCCCAGGCCCCAGACCTGACCGGTCTACAGGGTCATGGGGCCTAGTGATCTGATGTCTTCACCCTGTCCTTTCAGGTCTGCCCACCTGCCTGGGCCATTGTGACAGTTTCCCATTTGCTCTTCCTGCCCCAGGCACCGCCTACTCCACGTCCAGCTCTAGTCCATACCCCCGGGCAGCCAGCATGATTTTCCTTATAAGAAAATCCAGCCGTGTTGCCCATCTCCTTACAACTCTTTGAGGGTTTCCCACCTCTAAAGTAAAACCACCGAAACAGAGCCTTCGTGCTGTCTTGAAGACCAAACCTATGAAATCCATCCTGCTATCTATCCCCTTGAAACATCTCTCTTTCATTCCTTGTACATTATGCTTAGTCACAATAATTCCTTTGGTTTCCTGAACCATCCCTTCCTGCTTTCACACTGTCCATTCCTCTACTAACTGCAGAGCTAACTAGCCCTATGGGTCCTCCAGTGCTCCTCTTCTAGACCTCATTCTAGAAGCTTCCTGTGCTCCTCCCAGCTGCATGTGCTCTCCTCTCTCCTGGCACTTCTGCTCTATACAAATCAGTTGTCTACTGGCCTCTCTTCCCAATATATCTTTGGGGCCCCAGAGACTGGGACTTATACCTTTGTGTCCCTTGTACCTGCAGGCCAGATGGGCTCAGTACATGTGTTATGAATAAATGAATGAATGAATGAAGCAATTGTGGAAGAAGAAAGACTCCCCCTCCCCTCCCTTGCTGGAGAAACAGGAAACCCCTGAAGATTGCTGATAAAGCACCATGCAGCCAGGTCTTCTGAAACCTGAGGCCCAGCAGCAAGCTCTTAGCAAGAAAGAAAGTGCTGATAGGGTGCATGAAGCTGAGCCCCATCCGGAATCTCCCTGCAAGAAGTCTCCCTGCAGAGCAAGGAGCCATCAACTGGGTTACAAGAAGCTGAATGCAGGGTAGTGGGTACAACATGGATGCATGGATATCACATGCATGATCATGTTATAACATAACATGAACACAGGAGGTGGGCATTGGTGGAACAGAAGAAGAACAGGAAGGTGAGCTGAGAAGGAAACTGGAAGGTAATTCAGAAAAGGGTTTCTGAACCTTTACACAGACCCCAAGCATTCACACACAGTGAGACCAAAGGAGGATGTTCTTAAGGGAGGAATACAAAGGCATAATGCCTATGCGCCTCCGATCATAGGAAATAATATTTGTCAAAATGAACTCCAAGAAATAAAAACAAGGTGGAGTTTTTTGTTCTTTTCTTTTTATTTTGTTCATCTGTCTGCCTTGGGGGGGGGGGGTAAGGAGGACACAGAAAGTGTGGGACAAAGGGTGAACAAATGCAGTAGTGGCACTCACTAGACAACTGAAAAATTGAAAATGAACGATACAACTTATGGGTGGGGGTGGGAGGGAGAAACTGAGAAAGAGTGAGGGAAGGGACGATGCTTTCAAAAAAGAAATGTACTCATTACCTGACTCATACAACTATAACCCCTCTGTACATCACCTTTATAATAACATTTTTTTAAAAAAAGCATTTATGGAGATCTATAAGAGAATTGAGGTGAAAAAGTAGGTGTCCCCCAGAGTCTCTAGGAAAGATTCCCTTTCATGTTGAGGTGACCTAGGCTGAAATGGAAAGGAATGAGCCGATTCTAAAGCATTAATGTAACTCAAACAGAGGTCAAAGCCAGAGCCCCTGTATAAGGCTAAGCCTGACCTGTGGCCAGTCTTAGACTAGGCAATCAGTCGGCTCTGTGCTGCCATCTGGTGGCAGGATGGGAGACCAGCTTTGTTGGTTCCAAGGCTTGCTGCCAGATGTGTGGCCAGATGGGGGCGGTTGTGAGTTGGCAGGGACTCTTGGTGGTGAGAGGCGTGATCACTGGAAGGCGATGCCTCTGGATTCCCCAAACCTATATTCCTTCCAAAAGATACAATTTGTACTTTCATTTGAACCTTTTTGCCCAGAGAGCCTGGTACCGTGGTGAGCACTAGGTACATTGAATTTTTAAATGTTATGTTTTTTAAATTTTAAATTTTTTTATTTTTATTAAATTTATATTTAATAAAAATTTAAAATTTTAACTTTAAAATTAACATTGAATTTTAACATGTTGTGTGCCTATCATCCACCAGATGTTTATATATTTTCTTGAAGATTTTCTGCACAGCAACCTTGATATGATTGTTTTTAAAAAAGTCGAAGAAGGGCCGGGCGCTGGTGGCTCACACCTGTAATCCTAGCTACTCAGGAGGCTGAGATCTGAGGATCGCGGTTCAAAGCCAGCCAGGGCAGGAGAGACCCTGAGACTCCTATCTCCAATAAACCACCAGAAAGCCGGAAGTGGTGCTGTAGCTCAAGTGGTAGAGCGCTCGCCTTGAGCTGAAGAGCTGAGGGACAGCGCCAGGCCCAGAGTTCAAGCCCCAGGACCAACAACAAAAAAAAAGCCGAAGAAGGAACTGAAACCATAAGAAATCCATGAAGTCACTTTCAAATATTTACTGAGCACGTATATAGGTCGTGCTATGCTAAGCACTGGGGCAGGAAGATGGGTGTCACAATTAGGATCTATTTGATGTAAGGTAGGCATACATTTTAAAATTCATTGTTATGAATGGTCATCCTACCTGACTTTCTTCCAATATCAAAACTTGACACTATAGCTCTATAAACTTGTCCTGACCACTATTGTTTGTTTATTTAATGCTGGTACTGGGACTTGAACTCCTGCTTCAGGTTTTTGCTCAAAGCTAGTGCTTTACCACTTGAGCCATGCCTCCACTTCTGGCTTTTTGCTGGCTAATTGGAAATAAGAGTCTTTTAGATTTGTCTGACTGGGCTAGTTTTAAACCAGCACCTTCCTATCTCAGCCTGTTGAATACCTAGGACTATACACATGAACTAACTGGCTCCCAACTCTGAATCGATTTTTCTTTAAATTTTATTT